TACCTGGGAGAAGCAATCAGTGACTGAAAACCTACCTGGGAGAAGCAGTCAATGACTGACAACCTACCTGGGAGAAGCAGTCAATGACTGACAACCTACCTGGGAGAAGCAGTCAATGACTGACAACCTACCTGGGAGAAGCAGTCAATGACTGACAACCTACCTGGGAGAAGCAGTCAATGACTGACAACCTACCTCGGAGAAGCAGTCAATGACTGACAACCTACCTGGGAGAAGCAGTCAGTGACTGACAACCTACCTGGGAGAAGCAGTCAGTGACTGACAACCTACCTGGGAGAAGCAGTCAATGACTGACAACCTACCTGGGAGAACCAGTCAGTGACTGACAACCTACCTGGGAGAAGCAGTCAGTGACTGACAACCTACCTGGGAGAAGCAGTCAGTGATTGACAACCTACATGGGAGAAGCAGTCAATGACTGACAACCTACATGGAAGAAGCAGTCAGTGACTGACAACCTACCTGGGAGAAGCAGTCAGTGACTGACAACCTACCTGGGAGAAGCAGTCAGTGACTGACAACCTACCTGGGAGAAGCAATCAGTGACTGACAACCTACCTGGGAGAAGCAGTCAATGACTGACAACCTACCTGGGAGAAGCAATCAGTGACTGACAACCTACCTGGGAGAAGCAGTCAATGACTGACAACCTACCTCGGAGAAGCAGTCAGTGACTGACAACCTACCTGGGAGAAGCAGTCAATGACTGACAACCTACCTGGGAGAAGCAGTCAGTGACTGACAACCTACCTGGGAGAAGCAGTCAATGACTGACAACCTACCTGGGAGAAGCAGTCAGTGACTGACAACCTACCTGGGTGAAGCAGTCAATGACTGACAACCTACCTGGGAGAAGCAGTCAGTGACTGACAACCTACCTGGGAGAAGCAGTCAGTGACTGACAACCTACCTGGGAGAAGCAGTCAATGACTGACAACCTACCTGGGAGAAGCAATCAGTGACTGACAACCTACCTGGGAGAAGCAGTCAATGACTGACAACCTACCTGGGAGAAGCAGTCAATGACTGACAACCTACCTCGGAGAAGCAGTCAGTGACTGACAACCTACCTGGAAGAAGCAGTCAGTGACTGACAACCTACCTGGTAGAAGCAGTCAATGACTGACAACCTACCTGGGAGAAGCAGTCAGTGACTGACAACCTTCCTGGGAGAAGCAGTCAGTGACTGACAACCTACCTGGGAGAAGCAGTCAGTGACTGACAACCTACCTGGGAGAAGCAACTCTCGGTCAGCGCGGAGGTGGTACATGGACAGATCCATCAGGTTGACCTCCAGACCTGACGGCACCGAGACGCTCTCCGGCACCACGCTGGTTCCTGCAGGAAGGGAACACAATCTGTGACACTGAACCATTGTGTTCCTTGAACCAGTGAATGTTGTTTAATGAGGCAGCCAGCAATACTCAAGCAATATCAGGGCAGCCCATACAGAGGCATCGGGACCATTTTCATTCAACAAATAGTCATGGTAATCCAAATCTCATAGATGCACAGATATTAGATGGTTGTGTCAATGTCTGTGTGTCTTCTGCAAGCATCGTGATGATTGTGTCAATGTCTGTGTTTCTGTAACAAGCATCGTGATGATTGTGTCAATGTCTGTGTGTCTGTAGTATCTTGATGATTGTGTCAATGTCTGTAGGTCTTCTGCAAGCATCGTGATGATTGTGTCAATATCTGTGTGTCTGCAGCAAGCATCTTGATGATTGTGTCAATATCTGTGTGTCTGCTGCCAGCATTGTGATGATTGTGTCAATGTCTGTGTGTCTTCTGCAAGCATCGTGATGATTGTGTCAATGTCTGTGTGTCTGCTGCAAGCATCTTGATGATTGTGTCAATGTCTGTGTGTCTGCTGCAAGCATCGTGATGATTGTGTCAATGTCTGTGTGTCTTCTGCAAGCATCGTGATGATTGTGTCAATGTCTGTGTGTCTGCTGCAAGCATCGTGATGATTGTGTCAATGTATGTGTGTCTGCTGCAAGCATCTTGATGATTGTGTCAATGTCTGTGTGTCTGCAGTATCTTGATGATTGTGTCAACGTCTGTGTCTTTTGCAAGCATCGTGATGATTGTGTCAATGTCTGTGTGTCTGCTGCAAGCATCGTGATGATTGTGTCAATGTCTGTGTGTCTGCTGCAAGCATCGTGATGAGTGTGTCAATGTCTGTGTGTCTGCTTCAAGCATCGTGATGATTGTGTCAATGTCTGTGTGTCTGCTGCAAGTATCACGATGATTATGTCAATGTCTGTGTGTCTGCAGCAAGCATCGTGATGATTGTGTCAATGTCTGTGTGTCTGCTGCAAGCATCGTGATGATTGTGTCAATGTATGTGTGTCTGCAGTATCTTGATGATTGTGTCAATGTCTGTGTCTTTTGCAAGCATCGTGATGAGTGTGTCAATGTCTGTGTGTCTGCTGCAAGCATCGTGATGATTGTGTCAATGTCTGTGTGTCTGTAACAAGCATCGTGATGTTTGTGTCAATGTCTGTGTGTCTGCAGCAAGCATCATGATGATTGTGTCAATGTCTGTGTGTCTGCTGCAAGCATCGTAATGATTGTGTCAATGTCTGTGTGTCTGCTGCAAGCATCGTGATGATTGTGTCAATGTCTGTGTGTCTGCTGCAAGCATCGTGATGTTTGTGTCAATGTCTGTGTGTCTGCTGCAAGCATCGTGATGATTGTGTCAATGTCTGTGTGTCTGCTGCAAGCATCGTGATGATTGTGTCAATGTCTGTGTGTCTGCTGCAAGCATCGTGATGATTGTGTCAATGTCTATGTGTCTGCTGCAAGCAGCGTAATGATTGTGTCAATGTCCGTCAGCGTACCTCCAGCATGCAGGACAATCCTCCTGCTGGACACCCCCACAACGTTGATGAAGGCGATGAGGATGGTGTTGGTCATGTGGATGTTGCCGCTGATGTCGAGGTGAACCAGCCGGGAACAATGTTCAGCTACACTCGTAAAACCTGCAACAATACGGCAGCAGTTCAAATGTGTGTCAGGTCATTTTTTTTAATTTGACTGCCTAATTGCGAATATTTTGACATGTTGGGAACTTATTTTTCACCAAAAAACACAGAAGCATTGCATAGTTGTGGTGCAACATCGCCAACAACAATTGTTTATTGTGGCTGTTGATGGATCACTAGAAAATAGGTTTGCATTAAAGACTGAATATGTATACCAAGTAGCCATATGGCTACAAGTACTTTTTTCCAGGTAGCCAGAGGTAAAATTTAAGAAGTCGAGCTGATAGTGAAGGCAGCCAAAAGCATTTGAAATTATCTTTGATCAAATAACTACTATTGTATTTTAGTGGAGACTGTACTTGATTTTTGTCATTTGTGACTGGAACAATGATGCAATTGATGTTACTAGTCTATATAGGTATATAATGCTTATCCAATAAACTATCAACTAAAATAAAATACTAATTACATTAATATTTATGTATTTCGGTTCATTGTTGACTTTTGGAGGAATTATTAGCAAGTACAATTAGTAGCAGACATGTTCATTTTTGTGTCTACATATATGTAGCAATAGAATTTAGTCGCCACAAGATATTTTTCAAGGTAGTCATTTGGCTACCTCTGAATTTTAGAAGTAGACAAATTGAAATTTAGCTCGCATTGGCGACCATTTTAGTCAGAACTTTGAGGCCTGTTATTATAGGGGACGATGGGCTGGTTGGATTCGTTTTAACTTTACCACATCCGGTGACCGTTGTCAAGGATCTCATACATAAAACTCATGCCCAATGCAGCACAAATTTGAAATAGAAAGTTGCATGCCTCAAGCTACCTTAACAACATTAGAAGGACTTCTGGTTTAAAAACATCACTACCCTCTTTGGAAGCAGTACCTTAATACAGTAGTCATTTATTGCGAGTCAATCATACTGATTGGAAAGACTTAATCCAAACTTTTAGAAATTTATAACCATGTTCCATAGTTTGACCTCCAGTGACCTTGACCTCATATGGATGTCATCCAAAAGTTGATCAATCGAGACGGCACGTTAGAGATCATGTATAGAAGGTTTCATCAAAGTCTATTCATAAATACTCAAGTTATTGTGTACACAAGTTTTTCTTAAATAGCTTGTTCCTACTGAATTACCTTGACCTTCAATGTCATCCAATCATATGTTATGTGATCATCTTAGCTCTGACGGTCATAAGTCTATGGTATAGTACGATCATCTTGGCACTACGACTGTAGTAAGTATATGTTAAAGTATGGGTGTTACAATGGTCTTAGCGCTAAGATTGCTTTGTGATAGAGTTCCTGAGCAGAAGAGACTTACTCCGGTCTGTGAGTCCTCCACAGGCTCGAGCCGTCAGCTTCCGGAGGCGGCCATTGATGGCAATCAGCTCAAGACTCTCATCATGGATCTGAAGTGAGTGAGTGAGTGGACGTTGGTGTACACAATCTGTCACATACATGCACTTTTCCCATTCTTGATGTGGTACAGCAACTTCAATGTATACTTTGTTGTTGGTGTTGTTTGTTTGTTGTTTAATGCCGCTATATGACAGCGGTCTGTAAAAAATCAAGTCTGGAGCAGACACTCCAGTGATTGACATCATGAGCATCGATCCACGCAATTGGGATACGATGACATGCATCAACCAAGTCAGCTAGTCTGACCACCCGATCCCGTTAGTCACCTCTTACGACAAGCATAGTCGCCTTCTAAATACAGTATCACAAAAACCCTTGGACCCTTTATCCTACACATACATCTTTTTTTTTCCATATCATTTCAACAGGGTAACCTTGTCAATTGAAAGGCTGTGCCAAGATAAATATTAGTTCAGGAGGAAAACCAATAAAATAATATTCAGCTGAAATTAAGTAACATGACAGAAGAGGTTGTGTGATAGAGTAAGGTGTAACATGCTTCAGACTCCCATGTAAACCTTGTTTTCCTCAACACTGCATCCCGAATGACCCAATCTATTAAATCTCTATTCTATTATGAACCCCTTCGCCACCATAACTTCATTTTGAATCTGGTTTGACCGTTACAACTCTAAAAGTAGACATCCACTCTGCAAAGTATTTGACTGTAGTCCTGTGTGTCATCGCCAAAACAACGAGAACAACCTTCAGCAGAATGACTTACCTCCCCTGTCTTAATGCTCAATGTCTCGTTCAAGATAACTGCACTTCTACAGCTACATGCAGGCGGGTGTCAATGTGTGTGTGTTGCTGTACAGCTCTGAAGTAATGTCCGTGCTAGTCCACTGAGATACCAAGCTGCAGTTTAACATGGATACCCCACTCGTTTAATATCCCCTTACTGATGAGCCCCAGGCAGGGTAACAACAAGTACCATATTCTGAAAGTCTTTTGGTATGACGCAACGGGAATCAACCCCCGACCTTCTGCTCTCTGCTCTATCTAAACCGTCAGTATTGAAGTACTATAATCTTGAACACGACCACAACGCCCATTTCACATCACCCCCATTAAGCCTGTAGCATGTGCTTTCAGAGTTCGGGTCTACAGTCTGTTCTCACCATGTGCAAGTAGCTAATGGAGAGATTCTCCAGAACAGGGAGCTGGGCCAAGGTCTGGATGCCGGCATCCGTCACGCTCCAATGACAGCTGCTAATGTCCAGTATTCTATCAGAACAGAAAATGAGAAGTAATATTAAATGATATTTCACTCCGCAACATTCCAGCTATATGAAAGCAGCCTGTAAATAATCAAATCTGGACCAGACAATCTAGTGATTGACATCATGAGCATTGATTCACACAACTGGGAGATGGTGACATGAAGTCAACCAAACAGCGAAACTGATCATCCGAGCGGCGTAAAACCATAGTCACTCACTCAGTCTTGTGGCAAGCATGGGTTGCTGAAGTTTGAACATAGGCTGTGCTATCAGTGTACAATGACACGCAAACAGCCAAGTCACAGATTCCGACAGACAGGAACTGGGAATCCCACATGGACATTCCATAGAAGACCACATGTTAGAGTGAGTGAGTGAGTATGGTTTTACACCGCTTAATATTCCAGCAATATCACTGTGGAGGACACCAGAAAATGGGCTTCACACTTCGTACCCATGTCGGGATTCGAACCCGGGTCTTTGGTGTGATGAGTGAACGCTTTAACCACTAGGCTACCCAACCGCCCTCTACATGTCAGACAACAGAGTATGAGGATATGTCTTACCTGAGCTGCAGACAGCCAACAGAGATGGCAGCGAGGGCGGCATCCCCCACGGCGATGTTCTGTGACAGGTCCAGCTCAACCTGGGTATAAAGTGTAAGTCAATCAATACTGGCACTGGCTAGACATACATGACATGGTCATCGCTACTGCTGCAAACAGACCATTTACAAATGTCAGAAAAACATATCAGGAGAGAAAAAATGATTGCAGTCCCCAGGATAATGTCTGATTTTTCTTTTAGTGTTGAAGAGGACGACTAAAGCGTCAGAAATTTATATTTCCTCAGAATTAGGCAGAAAATATTTGAATATTTTGTTAAGTGTCTGTCTTTGTTGACATTTTACATTGCTGACTACATATCCAGGTGAGCTACAGTGCCCAGGCACTATTTGTTTTGTATAAAATAGGACTAGAATGATGTCATGAGGGGGTGTGTACTGTTGTTTACTCTTTGATTATATAGTTTGTATGTTAACTGGTCTGTGCCAATAACTTTTGAGACTACTAGCCTGGACTTTCAGCAGAGTTTTGTGTTATTTTAATATGCAGCTGCCATAAAATTTCCAAGTTCACTTGACAACGAAGTTAATCCTGTCTGCACGCTGACAAAGTGAGGATGTCATCTGTTGGAAGACTCCAGTGAGTGAGTGAGTGAGTTTGGTTTTACGCCGCTTTTAGCAATATTCCAGCAATATCACGGGGGGGACACCAGAAATGGGCTTCACACATTGTACCCATGTCGGGATTCGACCTCGGGTCTTCGGCGTGACGAGCGAACACTTTAAACACTAGGCTACCCGACCGCCCCTGGAAGACTCCATGCCCTGCTACAATTATGTAGCTATAATCATGTAGACTATTATTAACTGAGCTTACTTGACTGAACAGAATTTTACTAGACTTGGACTTCGGACTAGGGTCTAAAGTCATAGACTGTAACTTTATACAGTAACTGTAAAGTCTGTACAGTCTGACCATATTTTCTAGTGGCCTTTATGTTACCCCTTGACAGGGTTATCTCCCTTCATAGTCCACACAATATCACTTCTGTTTTGATTTGACGCTTGAGGTTTGTTTGTATCCTTGCATGGGTTACAGTCTATGTTGTGTGTGTATATAAATTCTAAGATATTGTGATGTGATGGTGTGACGATGGGAGAGTTAGTTTGGGGTAATGGGGGAGAGTGAGATGGCGTGTTACGGAGGGCTGTCAGTGTTTCTGTGTGTGTGCTATTGTCAGTGGTGTCCATTGATGTCATCGCAGACTTATATATACGTCGACTAGATGTACTGATTGTTTCATCCTGTGTTCCCGATGTAATTCCTAAATAACGAATTGTCTGAAGAAACGTGAATCTGAAGTCAGGTTGTATGAAAGTTGAACTCACCAGGTTAGCGGAGTGTCCCAGTGCACTCCAACACTCCAGAGATGCTGATGAACAAAGAGACGAGAAGTCACAAGATGCAGGATGTTGCGTATGCCTCTCTACTCGGTTAGTTCTACTACATTAATAACATTAAAAAGCTATTGTGACCAGAACCAACAAAGAGGCTGTCAACCCCCTTTTGGTTCATCAGACGCAGACACCTGTTAAGTGGTATTCCAGATGTCACAGAGCAGTACGCAGATGCCATTATTTCAATGTTGAAAATGACCCGTGAAGATCCGGCCATTCTTGCCGTAAGAGGCAACTAACGGGATCAGGTTGTCAGGCTCACTCACTTGGTTGATGCATGTCATCGTATCCCAATTGCGAGGATCAATGCTAATGTTTTTACTGGATTGTCTGGCCAAGACTCGATAATTTACAGACTGCTGTCATATAGCTGAAGTATTGCTGAGTGCCGCATTAAACAACAAACAAGGAAAACAATCAAAGTTGAAAACAATTTTTTTGGTCTTTTTTTTTATTGCACAGTATGACAAATCAATACATTATTTAGCACTAAGCTTTTAAACATGCATGGTCATGTATTCTGTGTGAAAATCCCAGTCTAAATGTGTTGTACCAGCTTTGTACACTGAAATGACTCAAAACTCATTGGATGCATGTCAAGCGGTATGATGGATGCCTAGAGGGTGGGGGTTTGGCACCCACAACAATATGTTATAGCAATCGCCATCATTGTTGTGGCACCTACCAACTGATTACTGACCAGTTTGGCTGATTAGTAAACATGACTATAAACATTGTTTGTAGCTGACTGCATTGAACCCTTCAATATTTGCCGATCATCATCATCACCTAGACACAAGTTTGTTTTGTTTGTTTGTTGTTTAACGCTGCACTCATTTGGGATACGATGACTTGCATCAGCCAAGTAAGCGCCTGACCACCCAATCCCGTCAGTCGCCTCTTACGACAAGCATAGTCGCCTCTTACAGCAAGCATGTGTTGCTGAAGACCTATTCTCTACCCGAATCTTCATGGGTCTGGATACAAGTCATACATTAATTTCATCCAGGTCAAGGGCCTACTTGAAAAGGTGGAAAAAATAGAGCCACGATACACTGTAGCTCACCTAACTTATAAAGAAAAAGCTTGAAAGATGAAGCAATTACAAAGTGAAGTCACACTTACTTTCTGGATACGACCCTGTTGCCTCCAAGACTGTCATATTTGGAAAACTCTGCAAATACAACCATCATCACACCATAACAAAACAAAGATCAATTCTTCATGATAAAAATAACCTGACTCTTACTAATTTGCTTAAGGAGTGATGAGGTGAGATGAGGTGAGGTGAGGTGAAATGGGGTTTAACGTCGCGTCCAAGATTATTGCACTTATATAGCGACGTGCATGTACGTGTGTGTGTTTGTGTGGCTGCTTGTACTAGTCCGGACTGATGCCGATTAATAGTGCTAGCACACTGAGATACCATGCCACAGTTTAACATGAATACCCCTCTCAGTCACAGTATACTGACTCCGAGTCGACCAGTCCTTGTTTTAGCCCCTTAATGCCGAGCGCCAGACAGGGTAACAACAAGTACCATCTTTTAACGTCTTTTGGTATGACGCGGCCGGGGATCGAACCCTGGACCTTCCGCTCTCCGGGCGGACGCTCTACCTCTAGACCACGGAGGCGGTTTTAAGGAGTGATGAGTCAGAGGGGTTGGTCATGTGTTTCCGGTGAGGAGAGGGGTGCGTTTGGGAAAGATGTTGGGAAGAGTTTCCACGTTTCATAAATAAGAATAGATAGGCAAATTAGTATCGAGGAGTGCATTGGGGTGAGATGTTTTCTAAGATGTTGGGAAATAGATAAATTAGTATGAGTCGGGGTAAGGTAAAATATTAATTTTACATATTCCTGTCTTGTTTCATTATTGTTTTGAGGTAGTGAGCAACTGAATGTTGATTTAGAGTACATTCAACAATATTCTAGATATCACACTGGCCTGTAAATATCTGAATCCCAGAGGGAGTGAGTGAGTGTGTATGGTTTTAAGCTGCTTTTAGCACTATTCCAGTAATATCATGGTTAGGGACACCAGAAATGGGCTTCAAACATTGTACCCATGTGGGGAATCAAACCCAGGTCTTCAGCGTGATGAGTGAATGCTTTAACCACTTGGCTACCTCACCGTCTCAGTAGGGCATGTGCAACAATTCCCCCCATCGAAATATATTGACACACAATCAGCTTGCAACACATTATGACCACTTGATCCTGAGCTACTGGAGTCCTATTCTGCCTTGGGATCTCCAAAGGGAGACAACCGCGGGCTATGTTGAACCTTTTCTACCCTGGAATCACCACAGTTGGTATAAATGTACCCCGAATAATTACTGGTATATGATTATTGTTTGTTTGTTTGTTGTTTAACGCACTCAGCAATATTCCAGCTAAATGATGGCGGTCTGTAAATTTTCAAATCGGGACCAGATAATCCTGTGATTGATATCATGTGCATCGATCCACGCAAATGGAATACGATGCCATGCATCAACCAAGTCAGTGAGCCTGACCAAACTATCCATAAATCCCCTCTTACGACAAGCATGGGTTGCTGAAGACCAATTATAACACGGAATCTTCACTGGACTATGATTATTTGAGAGTTTACTGACCAATAAGTGTATATTTCAATTTAGATCTCACATCCAAAATGTATTGGTTTTATTGTCATTTTAACTAAAGCCAAACACTACAGTGTTATTTTTATTTTAACATCTTTTATAAATTCATCAAGTTTCAAAAGGAAAGGTGACACATGATTATATGATTTGAATCTCTGATTGTGTAATGACTGCAAGGCCGTAGTTAACATTTTTTGACAGGGGGGGCAAATATTTGTACAAGTATCATTTGTCCCCAACTTGATTCAAATAAAACTGTTTTGTATAAAGATTCTTGGGGGGGGGGGGGGGGGCAATCGCCCTCCCCGCCCGGCTGGCTCCGCACTGGACTGTGCTCTACAAGGTACTGCTCTCACCGTGCCGAGTATCTCGATGGCGCTGTCCGTGAGGCGGATACTGGACTGAAGGTGCAGCTCCTCCAAAAGGGGACATAACTCTGCCAACTTGGAGATAGCAGTGTCGCTCAGCTGAATAAAGAACAATGACATCGTAGTCACACAACGTTGTCATGCAACATTCACTAATGCAGCAGGAGTTGTTGGATACACAGAGAGAAACATTATTTCACTTATTTCACTGCCTGTCAGCTTAATGTGGGATGAAAACCCATCATGACACAGGTCTCAGCATGGGTATTCAGCTGACAAACCAAGGATTATAATCAATGACGAATTTGGGATTCAAATCTAAAATCACAGTATCTTGGCACACCTAAGGGCAGCAACTCTCCACAGCAAAATGCAGTGCCTATGGGGAGGTATTCTAGCTTAGTGATACACACCTTGAGTGGACACATTATGACAAAACCCCTGGCCTTCATACATTTCTCTGACCTTCATATATTTCTGACCTCTGACCTTCAAATATTTTTTACCTTCATTTAATTCTCTGTCCTTCACATATTTCTCTGACCTCTGACCTTCATATATTACTCCGACCTTCACCTTCAGGGCATACTTACTGAGCTGCATCCGGTCAGATGGAGGGTTCTTATCTTCGGCCCGGCCATGTGGAAACACTGAAACATAACAATCACACTAAACACCAAACCATACACAATACCGCTTAAAGCTCTTTACTCTTTGTTTTCCTTTCTCAGTGGGGCGGTCAGGTAGCCTAGTGGTTAAAGCGTTCGCTCGTCACGCCGAAGACCCGGGTTCGATTCCCGACATGGGTACAATGTGTGAAGCCCATTTCTGGTGTCCCCCGCCGTGATATTGCTGGAATATTGCTAAAAGCGGCGTAAAACCATACTCACTCACTCACTCCTTTCTCAGTGTTTTCATTGTATAAATATTTCTGTAATGTGGCTTAGACTTTTAGAAAGATTACTCATAAACTCCATAAATAGTAGCCAAATACAGCCAAATAATATAGCAATAATGAACAAGAATGGTCGTAAAAAATCTTATTCATGATGGGATATAACAAACATATTCTACAGGTTGAAATCGTAAGTGAGTGAATTTCTTACCTTGCCAGTGATATTACTGTTGGACTCCATATCTATCAGCTCAAGCTCCTTGCAGTGATGGAGGGCCCACCAAAGACTGAAAGAAACATAAAGATGTAGACAAACTCCAAACAGTACCATGAGGAGGTGTGAAAAGCAAACTGAAGAGGCAACAGCCATACTGTGTTTTACATATGCCAGAATATACGATCAGCATCCATCCACTTCCTTAACATCATTCATGTATTTCATGTATTATTATTCCCTGACAAGTCTATTTTATAGAAACAATTATGACCCATCAATTTGTTTTGACCTGAAGCAAATAATGACATGAAATACAAAACCAGGACAAATATCTCCATACCTAGTAGCAGGAATAGAAATACCGTAATCGACGTAATAAGCACCCGGGGCGCTCTCAAAATTAGAAATAGGGGCTCTTGTTGGAATATAATTTTGGTGAGAAAAAAAACAGAGTTGAAAGATTGTAAATTTCGTAGTTAATGCTGACAGCCTGTAAGGATACAAAAGTAAAGTCTGTATGAATCATACACGACAGATTTATTGTCAGGAATTTAACTTCCCATAATTAAGGGTGCATATAACACACGATAAGTCTTGTGTACATTGATCAATTGGAAGGAGTGCTGATTGGGATTGTTCACTAGCCAATATATTAGCAAATATCGCTATGGGCGCTTATTATGTCGAATACGGTAGGCTATTTGGATGTTGGAGTTATCTGCCCTTGCCATGTCCAATATGGCAGACAAAGTGAGTGAGTGAGTGAGTGAGTGAGTGAGTATGGTTTTACGCCGTTTTTAGCAATATTTCAGCAATATCACGGCGAGGGACACCAGAAATGGGCTTCACACATTGTACCCATGTCGGGAATCAAACCCGGCTTTAACCACTAGGCTACCCAACCGCCCCGGCAGACAAAGGATCGCAATTTGGAAATATGATGTGAACAAGATCGAGACATACCCCTTCTCTCCAACATGGATGCATCTTTGTAGTTTTATCACCTGAAACATAAGAAACACATTGAAGCCAATGACATTTTCTAAAGGGCAACCGGGGCGGTCAGGTAGCCTAGTGGTTAAAGCGTTCGCTCGTCACGCCGAAGACCCGGGTTCGATTCCCGACATGGGTACAATGTGTGAAGCCCATTTCTGGTGTCCCCCGACGTGATATTGCTGGAATATTGCTAAAAGCGGCGTAAACCAAACTCACTCACTCACTCACTAAAGGGCAACCACAAACTTGATAATCACAACATAGAAGCAGATACAGAAAAGGGAGAAGCCGTAAATTAGTAAAATCCAGACTAGAACACCAAAAGTTTCACACCACCATAATATTCTATCTGCAAATAATCACAGTTTGGATCAGAGGAACCAATGATTGATGGTTATGGCACTATCAAATTCCATGTGGGGACTCCAGGTACCATCAATAATAATAACAACAACAACAACAAAACAACAACAACAATAATCCATTAATATGGCGCTGTACTCCATGTATAATCATGCTCTTTGCGCTTAGACATAATGAACCCCGCCGATGGATTAGTCTGCCCTAAACAATCATTCTCATCACCTTGGGGAGTATACAACCCAAGCTACCTGTGGTGTGCTAGAAGGTTAAAACCCATAATGCCATCTTATCCTACCAGGTACCCATTCACTGCTGGGTGAACAGAGGCAAGAACAAAGTCACTTGCCCAACAGACACCACATGTGTTACATGTACTACATCAATAACTTATGAATGTTGGGTGGTCATGTCATCGATCCCAATTGCATAGATCGATGCTCATGATGTCAATCACTGGATTGTCTGGTCCAGACTCGAGTATTTACAGACCACCATCATATAGCGGGAATATTGCTGAGTGCAGCGTTAAACAACCAACCAACCAACCAATCAGGTGGTCAGGCTGTCACTTGGTTTATTTTACTGTGACAGCACTATTCCAGCTATATGACAATGGCCTGCAAATAAATCTGGATGAGGAAAACCAGTAATTGACAAGATCCATGCCATCATGGTACGCTGACACACTTTCAGATGTGAGAACTGGTCTTCAGCAACCCATGTTGTAAGAGGCAACTAATGGGATCGGTTGATTTGGTTGATGCATCATTATATCTCAATTGCATAGATTGATGCTCATGATGTCAATCACTGGATTGTCTGGACTTGATTATTTATAGAATGCTGTCATAGACTGGAACAGTGCCGAGTGTGGTATTTAACAACAAAAAACAACACTGTCAGACAGTCTATCATTAATCATCTCTTACAACAAGTATTCATTGTTCTGTCAAGAATTGAATGCCTAGGGACAGGCCCCACTTCAACTTCTGATAGTAAAAGATATGCCTCAATTCTTATTTGCCTCGACAAAACACTGAGTATTAGATATTGGCAATCTCATCCAAATCAGATCTTTTACTCTGATATGATACCTCTCAATCTTTGCATGAAGATCTGAGGACAAATCCACAAGAGGTCGCGTAAGGTGAACTTTCCAATCAGCCAGTCAGCACTAAGGCTTGAAAATTTCTGGTACGAGTGAGTAAGCGTAATTGAGGAATTCCAATCAATAAAACATAAAGCTAAACTATCATATTTAGGATATTTTACACATCCTTTTATTTCTGAGTGCCATGGTGTCTACACTTAAAATGGTTTAATTTCCAACTGAGAGCATACCGTATTCGACGTAATAAGCGCCCTGCTCTAATTAGCGCCCATGGCGATATTTGCTAATATATTGGCTCGTGAACAATCTCAGTTAGCATCCCTTCCAATTGATTAATGTACACAAGACTTATTTATTTGTGTATAATACGCACTCGTATGTCATATGCACCCTTAATTATGGGCAATTAAATCCTGGAAAAATATATCTGTCGTATATAAACATTTCAGGCTGTCAGCATAAACCACGAAATTTACGATCTTTCAACTCAAAATATTATCCTAATAAGAGCTCCCTATTTCTAATTTTGAGAGCGCCCTGGGCGCTTATTACGTCGAATACGGTATATGTGTTCTGTGGTGGGTATTGTTTGCTAAGACTGAAATTTTGTAATCGAGGTAGTAATGAAATGCAGCTGAACCATTTTAGAAAGCGGACATATGACTGGCTCAAGAACCTGCACATCACTGATTTAGATCTGACCTGTTTATCAGAGTGACAGATCTGATTTTGATAAGATTGTGGGTACTAGGACCTACTTGGAGGATATCTATTGTGTTGGCTTTACCTTCAGTTTCCTGCACTCGGTGCTGAGATTCTTGAGTGATTTGTTGGTGACTGCCACGCCCGATAGGTCCACGTAGGTCAGGTTAGGGCAAAAGTGACCTGCAAAATTGTTTGTGATGCAGGACCAGAGGAGGATGACACAATTATATACTCATTGGCAAAAGAAATGTGAATGCCAAACATGTTGATTAATACACGAAGAATTACTCATATTCAAGAGAGGTTAGATTGGTTCGATGCACATTAACATACTGGTGTGTTTTGTGAACCGACGCTCATGAACACATCACATGTGATGTCATAGATCCATGACTCGAGATTTGTCTTTTGCAGGATTAGCGTGTAAAGTTTGGAAATCACGTGCAGCATATCGTGATAACAATAAAGAGACTCTGTGGAAAAACTTGACTGATTGTTAGTTTTGTCATGAAGTGGTACACATTGGAAACATATCTTCTTAACACAGATACTTCTCTCTATGTTTCTTTGGTTCACGTTTCATTTGGAGGTGAGTATATACATATTTATAACCTGGTATATAACTATATTTATAATGTATGTAGTAGAGCTGGGATGGGTAACACGAGTACTTGGGTACGTTGGGTACTGAGTAGGGCCCAGGTACCCACAGGACTACCCAGACCCATGGTAAGTCATGTGATATATTGTTTTATGACAAAAATTATCAGGAAGTAGAACTTCATGGTTACACTACAAGTCACTAATGTTTGCATTTCTTTCTGACTTTGCATTATTACTTCTGCCTCCTAAATGTTTGAATAAGAGAAAGCTTCAGCCAACTTCAGTGTATGCATGACCAGATCATTCTATATGTGTAACTAAATACATTTTGCTAGGACTACAATCAAACTTTTCCAAAACAGATATTTTGTACCTCTCTTGAGACCTACAGTGGGTACCAGGGTAGGGTTGGGTAATTAGGATGGGGGGCACCCGGGCAGTAAATTTGGACTCATACCAGCCCTAGTATGTAGCTTAGAGAAGTTTTGAGGTTTAGTAACATAGGTCTCTTTTGTAAAATAAATTTACAAAAAGAAATAGAAATTTTCTTTTCTTAGAACTACTGCACCAGGTACACAGGTTTGTCAATTTGTTCTAGACGTAACAGAAGAGATTGTTCATTCATCAAACCAAAAGCATCATCGTGAATGATGAACATACCTATAATGTCCAGGGCGTAGTCGGTGAGTAGTCGGGGAGACGCAGACAGATCCAGGGACACGAGGTTGGATCCGCACCTCTGTAGCAGCGAGTGCAGCATTTTGTCTGTCACACCTGGAACATTGACTGACTGATTGGAGGATGGATGGATGGATGGATGGATGGATGGATGGATGGATGGATGGATGGATGGATGGATGAGATTGATTGATTGATTGATGGATTGATGGATTGAAGAAAGGAAGGAGTCACATCATGGTTCTCTAACCTGAACTGAGTTTTCTCACCTCCAAATCTCTTGAACATATTCCTGAAGTGAACCGACTTCAATGTGGACCAGGACTGGAGGCTAAGATGGCGCCAGCGATGACACACTGAAATGTCACAACGAAGAAATTCTTACATCTTCAATGAGGAAATACCTCCACGTCATGACGTGTTCAATCTGCCGATACCCAAATAACAGACCCAGTAACGTTAACACAGGCTAAATATAAGTTAACTTCTGAATACATATCACAGAGACAAATCCATCTCAAGTCACATTCAGTGCGTCAGCTACACTGAGTTGTTTCATTGTTGTTTAACACTACACCTATTCCTGCTATATGATGTAGTCTGTTAGAACCTAATCTAGTCCAGACAAATCAGTGATTGATATAATGAGCAACGTTCCATTGTCGTGAAAGTGACACAATCACCTACACTAACAAGCGTTACCAAATAAAAAATATTTAAGAAAGCAGAAAAAAACAGAAACAAAATCGAGCCTGACCAAGCTTGACTTGCTATCCCAAACTCTCTACTTTCACACAGAGGCAGAACCGAATCAACACAGTGGGATCCACGTCACGGTTAGGTTTGTTTGCACACATTTCGAAGCTGACGAGCCGGGTCATACAGTCACCTCTCTCTAGGGTTATCCGCCCCTTGATAGACAGGAAGGTCATGATGTTCAGCAGAAGGTCATCACAAAGGTCATTGACCTGCGTCCCAGCACCAGACTGCATCATGGGGTCAGGATGTCTGTTGGTCTCGGGAACTGTGGACTACACAACTAGGATATATAAAGCTTTGTTTGTTCCTGCCCTGAATCCCCCAGGGGTAACACATAATGCATGTTGGAATTACCAAACAAATTACAACAGACTTAACTACGAGCTGAGGTCATCTTGCGCTTTTTTGCGGAAAAAGCGTGAAGCTTTTTGCTTTAAAGCGTGGTATAAGGGATTGATTCTGCTTTTCAGAAATCTATGTGCAGCCTGACTTGCTCGTGGCAGGGAACAAGAGATTTATTCCCCTGCTGAGAAATTATTGACAATCAGAACTCATAAATCTGACAGGGAGATATGATAACCTCTTTTAACATCCTCATAAGAGAGAATTACGGTTTTACCATTCGTAAACAAACACAGCAGAAACAGGTTTCAGTATGGATTTATCTAGAATTCCATGACCTTGGCAGGCACATTTGGACAAAAGTCATTATTTTTTTTAAAAATTGGGATTTTTAGTTCATGTATTTCTTAAATTCAGAAGTAATTTAACATTGCATTCAGTGTAACAATATATGATTTGTTTGTTTGCTTGTTTGTTGTTAAATGCTGCACTCAGCAATATTCCAGTTATAAGGCAGAGGTCTGAAAATAATCAAGTCTGGACCAGACAATCCAGTGATATGCATCATGAGCATCAATCCACACAATTGGGATACGATGACATGCGTCAGCCAAGTCAGCGAGTCTGACCACCCGGTCCAGTTAGTCGCCTTTTTAGGCAAGCATGGGTTGCTGAAGACCTATTCTAACCCACGGGTCTAATAAAATATCACTAAGTATTAAAGCTCTTCATCTTTCCTTGGGCCATCATTGGGCCTGTCATCAATGAAACGCAAGTCACCTTTGGTAAGCCACAACATTAATTATCACAAACAGGAAATGGGAAATTCTTAATTCCAATTTGAGAATGTTAAATGACAATTGCTGCAGCAATGAGGATGAATATCGGGTCTGAGCAGGTCTACATAAATCACCAACCTTGGCTGCATCTTCATCTTGAGTAGTAAGGTCAGGGATTCCGGTGAACTTCTTGAAAGTTGTTCTCTTAGATTCTTCTGCTCTGTGCACACGTAAATTCCTCATGGAAGAAGACAACAGAAATAAATCAAATGATACTTTTAAATGAAACTAGAACCGTTGGTATGGTTATCAGTGCATCACAATACTTTGTTTAACAAAACTGAAGTCATCTCTCAAAACAACCTGATACACACAAAGTGGGTATGTCACAAATTTACACCTTTAAGTCAAGAATGTTTAGGTGAACTGTTCTTGTACAATGACAGAAGATTTTTTTTTTTTTAGTTTAACAATGCACTCAGCAATATTCTAGCTACATGTATATGACGGCGGTCTGTAAATAATCTAGTCTGGACCAGACAATCCATTGATTGACATCATGAGCATCGATCTACGCAATTGGATATGATGACATGCATCAACCAAGTCAGCGAGCCTGACCACCCGATCCCCTTAGTCGCCTCTTACAACATGCATACTCGCCTCTTACAGCCAGCATTGGTTGCTGAAGACGTATTCTACCCCGGGATGCTGAAGACCTTTTCTACCCCGGATCTTCAAGGATCTGAACAGCTTCAACATATTTGTGAACGTCACATATGGACTTCTGCGTGCGTGCGTGCGTGCGTGCGTGCGTTGGGTTGGGGGTGTTTTGGGTGTGTGTGCGTGTGTGCGTGTGTGTGTGTGTGTGTGTTTTGGTGTGTGTGTGTGTGTGTGTGTGTGTGTGTGTGTGTGTGTGTGTGTGTGTGTGTGTGTGTGTGTGTGTGTTTTGTGTGTGTTTTTTGTGTGTGTGTGTGTGTGTGTGTGTGTGTGTGTGTGTGTGTGTGTGTGTGTGTGTGTGTGTGTGTGTGTGTGTGTGTGTGTGTGTGTGTGTGTTTTGGGTGGGTGTGTGTGTGTGTGTGTGTTGGGTTGGGGTGGGGGTGTTGGGGAGAGAGACAACCTAAGATGAAGTAGATGATTATTCCATATATATGTCAGTACAAATCTGGCACCATTGCAGCAGGTTCTGAAATTCTTTTTTTTCTTTCTTTCTTATTACTGACATGAAATAGTTCACTTGTTGTAGTGAGTGAGTGAGTGAGTATCGTTTTACGCCGTTTTTAGCAATATTCCAGCAATATCACGGCGGGGACACCAGAAATGGGCTTTACACATTGTACCCATGCTGGGAATCGAACCCGGGTCTTCGGCGTGACGAGCGAACGCTTTAACCACTAGGCTACCCAACCGCCCCTCACTTGTTGTAAGAAGTGTGTGCATTTTAGTTCAGTTTCATTCTCTGAACATTCAGAATCATAAGCATGGTAGAGTTACCTCCCTTCCAACTCCAGCTCTTCCCTTGTTGCTTGGAGAACGCTGTCTGCCTCCTCCTCAGTGGCGAATGACACAAACGCTATCCTGGTAGAGATGCGGCATATGTCAATGCTCAAATTCAACAAAAAACAGTGCTGTAACTCTTAAAAGTGTGATTTCTGTCTCAATACCATGTGTAATAATCCAATCTCATGTTTTTTTCACTTATACTGATAGTGTTCTAAAGATGCTGAATATCTCAACTAATACAACATATATTTTCTGAACAATTCAAGGAAAAAACTGCTTTCCTAAATTCAGACATTTCATTATAACAACCCATCATACAATTATAGCACATAGTACAGAATTCATTTTACATAATTTAACATAAAACATGCTAAAAGCCATTGTATTTTCAACTATTAAACTGTGTGTGTGTGTGTGTTTGTCTCTCTCTCTGTCTGTCTGTCTGCTTGTACTTGTCCTGGCTAATGCCTATATTATAGAGCCAGCTCACTGAGATGAATACCCCACATGACACAGTATACTGACTTCGAGGCGACCAGACCTTGTTTTAGTCCCTTGATGTCGAGCACCAGGCTGGTAAATAACAAGTACCATCTTTAAATGTTTTTTGGTATGACGCGGCCGGGTTCAAATCCCAGACCTTCCACTCTCCGGGTTGAAGCTCAAACACTAAACAACAGAGGCAGCCTGAAAACTTATATTAGAATTTACATACTCATGAACTAATTCATGGTTAATGGTTCAGATTTATCCCAATCTCATTAAAATCAGATCTTAGTTCTCTCTACTGCTAAACAAAGATCTGAAGACATCCCATTAGGGGTCACGTCAGAACGACCTTTCATCCGACCAATCAGTTCGCGCTTACCAGATTATGAAAGTGACAGTCGGAATGTGATTTCTAATCATGCAATCTCGAAAACTTTAACATGGGGTATTCCGAACGATAGTTACGGGTTTAACGACTGAATCCTTACAATCTAGACCATCTATTAGCCATTCCAGAATGGTTTTTTTATCAGGTTTCAAATTTGTAATCGAGAATTTGTCAAAATATGTTTCCAAAGCGTAGTCGCCAATTTGAAATTTGGGCCGTAAAGCACGAGAAAGCTTCCTTCTGATTGGTCATTCCATTGGTCGGTCAAAGTTCGAGCAAGGTCGGTCTGACGTGACCCGTAATGGGATGTCCTCAGATCTTTGTTTAGCGGTAGCGAGAACTAGGATCTGATTTTAATGAGATTGGATTTATCCCGACATCATGAGAACACTTACCCTCTAGGCCTCTTCTTCAGGTGGTCCTTCACTATGTGGGTGTATGTAACTGTTCCAAATTTGGAGAAGAAATCTTTCAGCTGTTGCCAACTGACCTGGAACATAGAGTGAGTGAGTGAGTGAGTGAGTGAGTGTGTTTGTGTGTGCGCGTGGGGTGTGTGTGTGTGTGTGTGTGTGTGTGGGGGGGGGGGGGGGGGGCATGAGTGAGCCAGAAGCGAGTGGTATAAAACCTAGCGAGGGATGCATAAAACTCCATGTACACTGAGTGATCCTGCTACAACAAATTTATTTTGCCGACATGTTTTAATATGACAATGTAAAAAAATTAAAACAAATTCAATATTGATAGAAAACAGCTGTTTGATTGAGCTGAGGTTAACTTGTGCTATGTTACCAGACTTTCATTGACTTGGAAAAAGGCTTTTGGCTTTGAAGGGGGGTATAAGGTATTAATATTGCCTCTTAGAAATCCATGTGCAGCCTGACTTGCTCGTGGCTGCACCCATAATGGGATGTCCTCAGATCTTTGGTTAGCGGTAGCGAAAACTAAGATCTGATTTAAATGAGATTGAGTTGGGTATCACCAGCAATACAAAACAATAACAACAATTACCCAATATCCAACATTTCCAACAAATATCTTCCGTTGTAGACCATATTTATCTTCTGACTCTATATCACTACATTCTTCATCTTCATTGTCCTGCTCAGTAACAACTGCATCTGTGACCTTAGCATCTTGATCGCCAACTCCTGCATGTTTGACCTCTTCATTTGCCTCCTCATATTCCATTTCTGTGTCAAAAATACTGAGTTTACTATTTGTTCTTAGATTACGAACCTTAAAGTGAACTGATGACAGATGTAGCATGTCGGTACGAGAACCTTGTCTAGTTACTAGCCTTAGTAGATCTACCAACAGATTAAGCCACGTGTGCTAGTGTTACCGTTAGACCTATCAAGACATCAGTACTTCGTGAACTCCTTATTATTTAATTTTATCAACTTTGTCTGGATCAGAGAATGTGACCGACAAATGCAAAAAATAAAAGTTTTGTTGGTAATTCTGGATATTCATAAAGTCATGAGTGTTCTCAGACTTTACTTTCAGATTATCATAAATTGAGGATATAAATGTTGTAACACAAATTTCACACATTATATTATCAAATGTCTACTCTAGAAGTGTGTCTCATACAAATAACCTGACTGTCAATATCGTTTAAAGATGTGACATAATATGTTCATGAAACTGTTTCTGAAACTTACTTGCGGTCACTCCACAGAGGTGTGGTCGGGAAATGAAACTAGAGTGCTCTCCCTTGGTTCGCTCTTCTCTACTGTTCACGCTTGTGATTTAATGTTAAAGCGTATTATTTTACTTTTTAATCCACGTTTCCTTGGAATACTTATGGTCTTAAAAAGAACCCACAATCATACAACCAGTAAAATAAAATGCATTACTCAACTGATAAAATATTTTGTGCCAGTGCACTGTAGATAATTGCTATTCATAAAAACTGAGGACAAAGTATTAATAGATATGAAAGAAGTAACTCAATTTCCCAAATGTTTGATTTTTTAATATACCTTCTAAATGCTAAAGAGAATATGTTTACTAATGCCATGCAATGTTTTCTAATCTACACAGTCAATCTATATGGCGGTCATTCGGTCAAACATTATAAAGTTGAAAAAAAGGACAAAAGTACGCAGTTAAGGTCAAATATTACGAATAAAGAACTAATTATTACTACTAAAGCTCAAAACAAACAGACGCCGGTTAAACAAATACAAAGTTGAAATAAAGGTCAGAAGTACGCAATAATAATAGTCAAATAGTCATAAGAAAAGAAAGAACAATGTGTACGAAAGAACTATAATAAGGTGCAACTGAAGTGTCCACATATTGTTTTTTTTTAGAAAAGGCAATTCATATGGATTGTGACTTTTTTCTAAATGTTCTCACATATGGTGTTCAATTCAAAATTTCAGCAGCACCATTTGTGTTTTAGATGTACATCAGTGTTTCGAAGATAAAGCCAACAAGCCCTTAATGGAAAATAACATACTTTAACATAATTTAAACCACTGAAAAATGCCCTAATTTTCAAACACTATATAAAACATTGTAAACGGTCATCATAATTATGTATGATAACACGGTGCCCCATTTACTTTCCAATTATTGTCATTTTATTAATAATTGCATTATTTGAATCATATATCAACAATAAGTACGTTTTTATTTATTACTTTAAAATTAATAACTTAATGTTCCGTTCCTATTTTGCGATATGAAAACAAATAATTTAACATTATAAACTTTGAAAAGGAAACACAATATGGTAATCTATTTCACGCAGAAAAGCAAATGTCTTTGACATTAATGAAACTAATTTAATATTCACGTTTTACTCACATGCACTTATTGACACAATGGATGATGATTATTATCAAGATATGTTTCAATACTTTCAGAATGAAATACAGTGATTAAAACATATATATTATTTTGATCCATATTGTTACGTGACATTATGCCATGACATTCTGCTTTTATGAATATTTCAATATGACAGTGTTTTACCTTTAAAAAAATGAAGTGACAGTTAATGATTATACTTTCAGTTTTGAATGTTATGATGACATAGAATAATATTCAAATGTTAAATATAATATCGTTCGAAAGAGTATCAACGGCTACGTATACTCTCCAAAAGGTAGGGGCTAAAATACAGATGATTACAGAAAATCATGAACGTTTGAGATGACTTGATCAAAACTGGGTCATAAAAAAACAAAAAACGATCACCTGTCTTAACATTGACCTATGTCAGGTCATAAATGCTGCATAAACGACAGGTTGGAATCAGTTCTTAAATTTCTTTAATTTTAAAACAAATATTTATCCTCTGACATGCAGTCTCGGACAAATGAAACCGGATGCTATTTTGTAAATTTACGAAAAAGAAAAACGTTTGGGATCCAGATAGTTTATCAAATATGTTTCTATTTATTAAATTAGAATGACAAATGGACCCGCTCTCCCTAATTCAGTAAAGTTAAAAAATATACAAATAAACAAGGAAAACTAATGCATATCCTTTCCTAAGTGGAGCAGATTTCATATTTTAAAAGCATGCATGCAATAAATTCCTTTAATCTTTACATGAATATTTATATCAATTGTTTTGTTTATTTAATTTTCACAGCTGATCGAAAATAGGTCAACTACAGTCAACATAGAAAAAATAATACATCTCACAGATGTCACTCAAATTCCAGAGCTATTTTATATTATAAGCATTGATTAAACTGAGGTTTCTGCAAACATCCATGAATCAGAATGTCTTGAATCTTCTTGAAGTAGATCGAAGTACGCACTGGTGATTATGTTTTATTGTCTGTTAAATTTTGGCTACCCTGTCGTTTATATTTGTATGAAGTATGAAATGACAAAACATACGTACGTATAGATGGGAATCACAGTAAATGTTACCAAATTAGCGCATTGCAAATACACGAGGCGTATAGTTGGATGAAGCAAAGTTTGAATAGGCTGTGGTTTGGAGTCATGTTTTTGTGTTACAAAGTCACTTTAACTCTGTAGATTATCGCTGAGAGAATCCCCGAAGGTAGTCAGGTTTTCAAAAGTGGTAGTAAGTTATGTCTACTTTAACGAAGGTTGCACCAACCCCGAACTTCATCAACAACAGAGGGACCCGTCTGTGTGATTGCCGTTGTCTTAAAACATTAAAGCAGCTACCAGCTTTATACGTGAACTATGGAAGCGAATCTTATATCGCAACATCGTTCAGCTGTTCCCTTTAAGAACGCATACTGTCATTTACGTATTTGATCGTGGTTTTCAGAACACGTTTAAATTGTGATACTTGATTCTTTTTTTTTCAAGAAGCGGCATACAAATACAGATAGACGGGGGATACAGGATTAACAAAACAATGTTATTCTTTCGGTGGGAGGGAATGTTGGGGCGGCGGGAGATGAGTGAGTGAGTCTGGTTTTACGCCGCTATTAGCAATATTCCAGCAATATCACGGCGGGTGACACCAGAATTGGGCTTCACACATTGTATCCAAGTGGGGAATCGGCAACCCGAGCGAACGTTTTCGACCATTAGGCCATCCCCACCGCCTCCGGCGGGAGAAGAGAAAAAACAAAAGTGATGACATTCTAACATGACAATCAGCAGAAAATGTTGGCGGTGTATTGTAAGGGGACAAACAACCACGTAAGGCGACAGAGATGTGTAGTCCCATGCCCCAACGACTTGGCAAACATTCGTTTATAACCGTGGCATGGTCCGACTCAATCTCCCAATGTTTTCGCTTACACTTCTCTCGATCATGTCCCAGACGTGCACAATGGGAGAAAGGTCAGGACTCACGGCTGGCTATTGTATTCTGGTGATAGTTTGCTGCTAATATACGTGTGTTGTGGAGCTAGGACACCCTGTGCGGGGCCGATCATTGACATTTTGTGTCTGCAGAAACTGTTGCCAAAGTCGGCAAACCACAGACTGAGACACATTGAACGTACTGGCTACCTCTTTCTGAGGTCTACCAGTTTGAAGCATGCCACTTGCCCTTAGATGGTTCGTCTCTGTTTTCAGCCTGGTAACGATTTGATAACGTTGTAATTCTTTGGCCAAATATGATTTTCTTTTGCCTGGCAGTTTAGATGAAAAGATGAACAATATATTAAACAAGCGATGAATCTTTAAGCTGCAGCCATCACACAATGCGAGACTTGGATCACAGACTAGGATATTACGTCACATTATAGCAGCCTGTTAATGATAATTTTTTGTCCTAACGCGTTGTTTTACATAAGACTATATGGATAAAAACTTCTGGTTTACTGCATACAGCATATTCGATGTAGATTCATACAGGCTTGATAACGGCGTGAGAATCTGCATCGAAACGTTCCTATATGCAATAGGGGCGGTCGGGTAGCCTACTGGTTAAAGCGTTCGCTCGTCACGCCGAAGACCCGGGTTCGATTCCCGACATGGGTACAATGTGTGAAACCCATTTCTGGTGTCCCCAGCCGTGATATTGCTGGAATATTGCTAAAAGCGGCGTAAAATCAAAACTCACTCACACACTCCTATATCCAATAGACCAGAAGTTGTTATCCTTAAAGTTTTCCGTTTTCTTATTTACTCTCCAACTTCAAGGATGCCAATTACTATTGTAACGTATGTATTCGGGCATTGGCTAGAGTCTTTCTTGGTGAAGCTCCATCAGTGATTTAAATTGCACCTTAGAACATAATTCAATACATCAAGAAGTAGTAGTACAAAGAAGTAGTGTAGTATTATTTAAAGTTTATTGAATATGTTTCCTTTCTTTATTGGTTTGTGTATTAGGTGCAACATAAGCTCCGCACACCGGATGTGCGGTAGATCCGACCGGAAATGCCACTTTAAAGCCCCATCCTGACTATATAAATAGCCCGCAAGGTGGCGGTGTTTCAGTTTCGAACAGTGACTGGCAACATAAACACAATCGAGTGTCGAGAGAAGCTGTTTGATAACTACATAAACAAGATCACCAAAGACCTTCAAACTTCGTATCAACATGAATGACAAACCTTGGATACCACAAATGGTACAGTTAGCCATGGTGTATTATTTTAAGCATCAGTGTGTTCTGAGTTCATCTGTATCGATACAATTTATTAGAAACATTTAACTATCTTAAACATGTCTTCTTTTTTCCAATGTTGGTGTATAGCGTCCAAGTCAATGAGAAACGATCCACCTGCAGCCTGGTTCTTTGGGTATGCTGCGCTGGCGCTATAACACTGTGGCGCCAGCGCAGCATACCCAGAGAACCGGGCTTGACCACCCGATCCATTTAGTCCCCTCTTCGGGACAGCATATGTTGCTGGAAACCAGTTCTAGCCAGTAATCACCGCGGCCCCATAGGAGTAAAACATGTGGTTTTAGTGAGATTAAAATAAGAAATTATATTCCAAATAATGTGACGCTGATTCCTCTAATATCAATGCCCTGCAAATAATTTCCCTAAATTTGACAATGTTGGGAAAGACGGAGTTTATTCCTCGCTTCACTTGTTAGGTAGAGTACGAGGTGAGGTGAGGTTGCCTGGGGTTTAACGTTGCGTTATAATTATTGGACTTTTGTAGCAAGGCGCATGCACGTGTGCGTTTGTGCGTGCGTGCATGTGTGTGGATCACACCCAGACACATAATCGGACTCCGAGCCGACTAGTAATCTCCTTAATGCTGAGTAACACCAAGTACCATCTTTAAACATAGTTTGGTATGACGCGGCCTTCCCAATCTCATTAAAATCTGATCTTAGTTCTCGCTATCGCTAAACAAAGATCCCATTAAGGGTCACGTCAGAACGACTTTTCATCCAACCAATCAGAGCGTCGCTTACCAGATCATGAAAGTGACAGTCGGAATGTGTTTTTTAATCATGCAACCACGAAATATTTAACACGGGGTATTCCGAACGACAGTAACGGGTTTTATGATTATATCCATACAATCTAGGCCATCTATAAGCCATTCCAGAATGTTCTTCTTATCAGTTTTAATTTTGTTAATCGAGAATACCTCAAAATATGTTTCGAAGCGTAGTCGCTAGTTTGAAACTAGTGTCGTAAAGCTCGAGAAAGCTGCCTTCTGATTGGCTAATGTCGATTTCTTGTCAGTCATTTCATTGGTCGGTCATAATTCGCGAAAGGTCGTTCTGACGTGACCCGTAATGGGATGTCCCCAGATCTTTGTTTAGCGGTATCGAAAACTAAGATCTGATTTTAATGAGATTGCGGCCTTCCGCTCTCCAGGCAGAGCTCTATCCGCTACACCACACAGGCGGTGTAAAGTACAACGAGCACACATGATAGGTTATTGATTTATTTGCTTACAAATTCATTCAAAATGACGTATATATACAGGTGCCATGATCTATTGCCAGTGGGTATTTATGTACACATCTGATGTCTAAGCACTGAAAGAGGACGGAGTTTGAACAAAGCAAACAAACTACAAATTACATTAAAACTGTGGCACACGTAATGAGGTAGCGAACTTATTCAAATAGTAGGATCTTCTGCACGACAATGCACGTGTTTCATTTCCCACGTTCCCTAAGTGAGTTAAACGCCGTTTGATAATACCTGGTTCAATGACCCTCATCCTTTATACGAAATGAAATTAAGGATGGATATTCTGCATCAGAACTGCATTGTGGGTAAAAGCTGGTAATATTCGCAGGTTATTCATGACCTAGCCAAACCACCAATAACAAGAATTTAATATTTCCTTAAATTTTAGTATGGATAGGTATACGTGATGCTGTTTGTTGGCGTTTATTAAAAAATGAAGCCTGTTCTGCGCTCCCCTAACAATATAGAATATAGAGCCCTGTTCCACAAAGCGATCTTAGCACTAAGGTGATCGTAAGTCTCATACTTTAACATAGGTTTACGATCATCGTAGCGCTCAGGGCCTAGATTTTCGAAACGATCTTAGCTAAGATAAATCTTAACAACTTACGTTCAAAGATAAGATATCTTAGGGCTACGATAGCCTACGATTTCCTTACGATAACTTTACGATAATCTTAGGGCTAAGATCGTTTCGAAAATCTAGGCCCAGATCGCTTTGAGGAACGGGGCCCTGAATGTTTTTTCATTAACATACACGATTCAATAGTTGCACTGACCTTGATCTATGTTTTTTGAACATAAGGGACATTTTTAAAAAAATGGAGAGAGGTGGTTATTTTTTTCAAAAACATATTTTATCACATGACATCACAGTTTCAAGATATAGATTTTCAGCACCAATAGCTTGGTTACAAAAACGAAAAACAATATAAAAATTCTGCTACTGTTACAATGACTGACAATCAGAGACAGATAAAACATTATGTACATGGCATTAAACTGATTCAATGGCATCGCATCTTTAAACAGCTGGACCAAGATATTAATAGTAATCCTCAAATGGCATATATCCGTGTTGGTTGTGCTGGTGCGTGATACCGTACACCTGGGGCCTCTGTAGGGGGCCGTATATGGAATATACAGGCTTCCGGTATGTAGAGGTCATGTAGTTTGAGAACGGGTAGAGGTTATCTTCTCGTGCGCTCAGACGGTTCATGCCCCGGGCTCTCATTGTTTCGGTCACCGGGCGACCTGATCTCAGGTACTTCCTGTCGTCGACTGGCCAGTCCTTGCCCTCACGTGACCATTTCGGTACAGCGGAAGTGCCCATTCTGTACTCCCACGGACGTTGACATGGCTCGTGTCGGTCAACGACCTTTGGTAGCTCCTCCTGGCGGCGCATTGGTTCACCATTGTCGTACCATTTGTCTGTCCAGTGCTGGAACAGAGTTGTTTATATATTTGTCTCGATGAACCTACCTCCGTATCGATACATATCGCGATACACGAGATACGATACACGTATCTTAATACTTAATTTTAGCCTTTTTTGTGGGTCGTGCTTTCAACTAGTTCATGTTTAACTTAATTGCTTAATTTTGACTCGTTTTAATGGTATTTTGCAAGGTCTGGTACCCATTTTCTAGACTATTTACGATATTTTGGGGTATTTATGATACTAGGCGTTATACATAGCGTCATGTGTCAAATTGAGACGTTTTCTCAGAATAATAAATTAGCACTTGACCGTTAGATTGTTCGACATTATAAAATGTAAGACAATACAGTTAACCTTGCTAGGACTGCCAATTTGCTTGAGACGAATCCTCCTTTAACAAAAATGATATATGTAAGGACAATATGCTCCAGGGCCTATATGGTGTTTTAGAATTATTAATTTATGTGAAATCAGTATCATGTCTTTCTTTATGTGTTGAATAGAGTAAACCTGTATTTCGAAGACGGAACCACGTGTTGCCCAGTCGTCTAAGGCGCTGCAATTCGCTATGCAGAGTTGCGTCCCTTGTTTGAATTTCGATTATGTTTCTATGTTCCAGCACCATACCAATGCTGTTACCAAAATGATATCTCTTAAGGATTTCCTCTCACGTTAAGCTCACACGCCGTGATATAACTGGAATTCTGTTCAAAGAGGCGTTATACCCAACTCACACTCAAAGACAGGACACAACATGAAACACCATCGTTATTTATTTCTCAACTATCTTTAACATAAGTGTTATGGTCTGTAATAATAAGTTTCGTGGGGAGCAGTATTCATTCCTGTACTTCGTCTTGGGAGTATGGTGAGGTGAGATGAAATTGGGTTTAACGTCGCGTCCAAGATTATTGCACTTATATAGCAACGTGCATGCACGTGTGTGTGTGGTTGCTTGTACTAGTCCGGACTGATGCCGATTTATATTGCACACTGAGATACCATGCCGCAGTTTAACATCAATATCTCACTCAGACACAGTATACTGACTCCGAGCCGACCAGTCCTTGTTTTAGCCCCTTAATGCGGAGCGCCAGATAGGGTCACAAGTACAATCTTTCAACGTATTTTGGTATGACGCGGCCGGGGATCGAACCCTGGACCTTCCGCTCTCCGGGCGGACGCTCTACCTCTAGACCACGGAGGCGGTTCTTGGAAGTATGGCATATCATATTTTGAATATATTTTACATTCATCAGCCACATACATCTGTGGCGGTGTGGCATCAATTACAAACAATCAGATGTTGTCTTACATTATTAGACCGACAGAGAATAACTTCTGGGACACAATAATCTGAATGTTATGTTTTTCCCAGATAGATCCTTCACATTTATCAACCGTTAGGAACCACGTGTTCATTTAATTTCATGTAACGATTACCAGATCAAGAATGATGAAGCAGATACGTCTGCCAGAGACGATGCTTCACTGAGAATACATACCTGGTAGGACTCGCGGCCAACTTTCGAAGTGTATTTTTCTGGAACGCTCCGCCTGATTAATAATGAATCAAATAATAAAACTGATTAAAAATGTATGCATGTTGAATCAGTTGTAGAGCAGAAAGGAACAAACAGCTATAACAGCCGTTTGTTGTTTGACGCCACACTTGGCAATATGAAGACGGTCTGTAATTGGGCCCCTGTAATTAATCGAGTCTGGACCAGACAATCCAGTGATTGACATTACGAGCATCGATATACGTAATTCGGATATGATGACATGCATCAACCAAGTCAGCGAACCTGACCACCCGATCCTTTTAGTAGCCCCTTTAATATACGAGCAAGGATTGCTTTCGTATTCCAAACCAGATATTCACGGAGGTCTTACACTAGGAACGACATAAAAGTGGAAACCATACACAAACAGTATATATGGATTCATGTACGTATTACCTTTAGAATAAAAAAACAACATGTTTTGTGTTTACTTGATTAGAAAACTCGGGTGATAAATGATTTTACCAAGTTGCGTCGTCCCTTTTTCGAAAATATAATTGTCACACACATTGTTTGTTTGTTGTTTAATGCCACCACTCAGCAATATTCCTGCTATATGACTGCAGTCTGTAAATAATCGAGTCTGTACCAGACAATCCAGTGATTGACATCATGAGCATCGATCCACGCAATTGGGATCGATGACATGCATCAGCCAAGTCAGCGAGTCTGACCACCCGATCCCGTTAGTCGTCTTTTACAACAAGCATAGTCGCCTTTTACGGCAAGCATGGGTTGCTGAAGACCTATTCTACCCCGGATTTTCACGGGTCGTCACACACATTAGGCACATTTTATTATTTTAAGGCTAAAAGAAGTTGGCTGGTAGCATTTTATTTGGTTGAATAGTTTTGTTTTATATATATATATATATATATATATATATATATATATATATATATTTGAGTTACAACAAACATTACATCACAAGTAACCTCTAGGATAAGAACAGTTTGAAGAAGATATTAAACATACGACAGCAGAGACGGAAGAGTGAATACAACCATTACCTGAACATTTCTTGTGACGAAGGATATTTTGGGACAGTTGGGGGAATGTTAACCCAGTAAGGGTATCGACTCTGAGGCCGATTGAAAAACAACGTATCCGCCATGTTTGTCCGTTTTACCGCTGTCCTCCCCGAATGTGATATGCAAACTTTGTCTCAGCTGCAACACGAAAGCTGTATTGTTGACGGTCGCACACAACATGCACGAAAATAATTCATGCCATAAATTCCGTTTTTTTTATGGTTAATGTATGCCTACTACAACTCAAACATAATTTCTTTCACCACATATGCTGCCAATAAACGTGAAAATAAAGCTATTGACTGTTTGAGATTGTTTACATTGTGCATGCTGGAAGGGGCTAGCAACGTGCTGCCATGGCGACGTCGACACAAAACACTGCCGCTTACAACACTGCGAAGCGTCAGGGGCAGGTTTGATGTCTTTCATTTACAGAATATCGATCGATTTGTATTAATGGGTGATGTTTTAACTCATCCATTAATAGAGTGGCATAATTCAATTCTTTGCTTCTCATGAATTGTTACATCCACCAACGCGCCTGTTGTGTATTGTTGGTAAGCGACATATCCGAGGTCTGATTATGGCCGCTTCACAACAGTTCCTGTCAACTCCGGCCAAATTACCAAAATTATGGTACGTTTTAGCTGTCATTTGTTTCATACTTTATGGTTTTGTTGTTAGATAAGATATATTTTATGCAACAGTCGCCATGTTAATTCTAAAACATTAAAAGTTTCGGTAAATGTTTTATATCGATACATACGTGGCAATCGTGAAAAATATTTCAGAATATATCCTCACTGGTCCCAGTTGCCAATATTGCTTGTCGTACAAGGCGGCTATATACCAAATATTTTGTCAGGCTTGGTTGGCGTCATGGAACGTTACTGAAGACTCAAGTATATACAGACCGCCGTTTTATGGAAGAAGAATTTTTTTTATATTCAAATGTCCAGCGGTCTATATTGTTCTCACTCTTGCTTGACAACTGTGTAAGGATCTATACCGATACGTCGCATCATAGTTGAATAAGGAAGTTGTCATACATAAAATGTATTGCCTTTACTGTTCAGCGGTGTATACATGTTAAAATAGAAGGCATATCACAATATAATAGAATACATCGCCCGACTAAGTCCCGATGGACGCTAATAACCGTGTTACGGTCTATGGTTTATCCAATCTTTATCGTAGTTATAAGCTGTCAGGATTGTTCCGATTGTTTCAGTTTCATCTTAAAAGGAAAAACCTTTAACACAAAAAGATTTAGTTTTGAAGTATTTTCATAAAATATGGTTAATCTCACTGAATGCAGAGCTACAGATAAGCTGCGTACTGGCGTAAAATACCCCCCCCCCCCCCCCCCCCCCCCAAAAAAAAAAATAAAAAAAATAAAAAATAATAATAAAAAAATAAAAAAATAAATAAATAAAATAAATTTTTAAATAAATATTTTTTTATTCAAAACCCAATTACTTTCAATTAACTTGCGTACAGAAACGCATGCATTAAATGAAAAACGCAAATGTATAAAAACACCATACATAAATATCCAATGAAGCTTTTTCAGCATGCGTACAATGGAGCTAATTTCCGAAACACAACTACGAGGTAATTTGCTTTCCGACTCAAGCCTATAGTTAGAACCCTTATATACATCTAAAACATTTTTTTGATTTTTTTTTTGGAAATCTCAAAATGTTAGCTCATTTTTGGGAAAAAACAATAGAGTGATGAATAGATGAGTGAAAAAATATTACTCAATGAAAAATTTAATAACCCAGTTAAAACAGAAATCTTCGAGTAAAAACTCATTGCTCAAAAAGTTATCTGGAGCTCTGTGAATGCATATCAACATGTCTCTATGGGTGATCTTTGTATCATTTCAGGCAACCCAAGTTACACGAATGGAACCCTTATCACTGCAGCTCTCCTGATGTTGCCCACGTGAGTGAGATGAAAACACAATTCATAAAAGCTTGATACCCTCAAATTGTAGTCTCAAGTATGTCGGGAAACCAGTTTGGTATATGATCTGCAATAAATGTGTAAAGAATATTTAATATACAAAGAGGCCTTAAACTCTCAACAACTCACTCAATGTTTATCGTCGTGTTGTGATTTGATCAGAGTGTTCCCGTACTTTTAGGACAGACATTTTGTTTTAAGATCGGTTTACGAATCCGCCGACTCATAAAAATTGCATGTGGAAATATGTAAAAGTAAATCGATCGGTGTTGTTGTTTTTATTCCGCCGATCGTAAAAAAGTAAAACGTTCAAACAAAACTCATTTACTGTCGCTATATATACAAAAAAAATATTAATTCTTTGAATAATTTCCTCATATTTCAAAACACAACGAATTAAGACTATTATGTCTATAAGGTGTATGAGTGAGTATGGTTTTACGCCTTTTTAGCAATATTCCAGCAATATCACGGCGGGGGACACCAGAAATGGGCTTCACACATTGTACCCATGTCGGGAATCGAACCGGGTCTTCGGCGTGACGAGCGAACGCTTTAACCAGTAGGCTACCCGACCGCCCCTATGTCTATAAGGGAAGGGAGGTAACTCTAAACTTACCATTCACTATTTGAAGTTGTATATTCATAGAACTGTTCCTCCCTTGTTTATGAATAGTAGTATCACAGTACATTAACTTTTCCCCATCAAAACAGGCAGGATGGCGGAAATGGAGCGCGGAGCATCCCGACTGGTACGCACGCCGTGCTTCATCACAGCATCCCGACTGGTACAACCGGCGGAGGGATACAGTGAGGAGAGGTAGGTTGGTAGGTTGGTTGGTTGGTTTGTTGTTTAACGCCGCACTCAGCAATATTCCAGCTATATGACGGCGGGTAGGCAACGACGGGACATTATAGTAGATGCTGAAATCCAGCTAAGTCGTTGTGGACATCAATATATGTTGGGTTTACTACCAGTAGATACAAGCAGTACCAGAATTCTGCCGGGATTCTACTGCGATGCCAAGGGAATCCCACAGGGCCACATGCAGTGTCATAAAAATAATATACTTTTGTTTGTGTCCTGTTGCGAATTCCTGTGATCCAATTCAAGTTAAAAGGGTTTTGCTTTTCTGCCCTTATACTAATCTATTTATATATTTTTTCTAAAAATCTAATCTAATGAACCCCTGTCACGTCATACAAAACGATGTTAAAAGATGGTACTTTTTGTAACCTTGCCTGAAGCTCGCCAAAAAGGCAAATGGGATATCCTTGTTAAAGTGCGGCATGGTACCACACTGGGCCAACACTATACAACCGGCATAATACAAACAAAGGCACGCACGCCCTATGTAAGTGCAATATAATCTTCAACTCGATGTTACACCCCATCTCAACTCACCTCAGATCGTCTCTCTCTCAGCACCACACCCAAAATGGTACAATTTTATTACCGGCGTCACTTTGAGCTTACCTTCCCGAGGCAAGAGATTTAACTGACTTTAAAAGTCCAGTTTCCGCCCTTGCCGAACTAGGCTGGAATTCCTTGGCTCGATTGTAGCGCCACCAGTGGCTATTACGAGTTATGTCCCTTCTATGCCTCTCCTATGGACCAATCAGATTCCACATCTCCTATCACTTGCATTTGCTTCAAACAAAACAGCGGCGCCCAGTCAAGACAATGTGATCGATAATAAAGGTCTATATTGTGATAAAACGGGTCTTACATCGCGAAATGCATCAAATCACGTGAGCACCTTGATTAAAAACATGAAAAGATTTGGAAAATATCTGTTGGCAACGAGTTGGCGGTGCACATGCTTTGCAAATCTTGCAAACGACCAAAATCTGAACGACAGTTTACGAACCGGATTTCGATTTCGGTGCGCGATTTTGATTGGACTATGCATAGACTCGTTAGTCCAGCTGATATGTAACTCCACAATACCAGCCTAGTTCGGCAAGGGTGGAAACTGGACTTTTAAAGTCAGTTAACTCTCCTGCCTCGGGAAGATGCTTTGAGCTTTGCGTCAATCTCATTGAAATCAGACCTTAGTTCTTGCTACCGCTAAACAAAGATCTGAAGACATCCCATTAGGGGTCACGTCAGAACGACCTTTCATCCGACCAATCAGTGCGTCGCTTACCAGATTATGAAAGTGACAGTCGGAATGTGATTTCTAATCATGCAATCTCGAAAACTTTAACATTGGGTATTCCGAACGATAGTAACGGGTGTAACGACTGAATCCTTACAATCTAGACCATTCCAGAATGTTTTTTTGTTCAGGTTTCAAATTTGTAATCGAGAACTTGTCAATATATGTTTCGAAGCGTAGTCTCCAATTTGAAATTTGTGCCGTAAAGCACGAGAAAGCTGCCTTCTGATTGGTCATTCCATTGGTCGGTCAAAGTTGGCGCAAGGTCGGTCTGACGTGACCCGTAACGGGATGTCCTCACATCTTTGTTTAGCGGTAGCGAGAACTAAGATCTGATTTTAATGAGATTGAGCTGTGCGTCATCACTACGACTCGAGAAACTAGCTGATAAAACCTAAATACTAAACCCACCTCACTCACTCATATCACCATTGTTTTCCAGCTGACTACAAGAACATCAACTGGCATAATGAGCGTCCCTCTAAGCCAACCGCTCGGACACACGACGATTTCGTACCCTACACCAACGAGGTGATGATGAAAGACGTCATCAAGCCAATGCCACACAACAAGGGATTCCAGGGCACCGTGACCTTCCCGAAACCCTTCCCCATGGAAGTCCCTGCCCCTAAGTGGGGACTGTACCATCCGCCCCACTACGAAGAACCCACCAGGCTGAACCACTTTGCTCCCGTCAGATACAGTGGATATTATAACTAAACAAGATACGTCATTCGTCACTACTCGCTTCTTTCCGTAACCTATAGGTCTTCATTCGGCTTGTTCCGGATTGGACGAGTTGGTCACGAATGTCACACAGTGGCGGACGTCTCTCGCAATCGCTCGAGTTCGCTCCGCTTGTTCCGATACCTATATAATCCCATTTTACGGAGTGAGCCGACTGATATCGCAATATGTAGACATGTTCTTGTCAAACGTTCCATGAAGTTGAAGAAACTAGGTTATGATTTGCTCTGTTCACCCTCGCTGAAATCTTTTAAAGCTGTACCTCAAATAAACAAAGCCAAGTTGTTAATATTTGCGATCTTTGAGGCAAGATCTGAGATCAGTTCCCTACAGAAACGCAATAAGCATGTCCTTCGTATAATAACAGTTCACCAATCAGATCATTCGTGAGCACTCGTGTCATCCCGGGCAAGCCGAATAAGAGGTGTAACGCATTCGTCACCACTCGCCTCTTTCCGTAAACTATTCGGCTTGTCCCGGAATAACACGAGTTGGTCACGAATGGTAACGACGAAGGTCAATCAGATGTTCTTACCCACCTTAAGAAGGCAAATGTTTCTTCATTGGACTGAGATTTTAACCGACCAATCCCCAACCTATACCATCTCCATATAACGCCACCCTGACTGAGCTTCATTGGTAGTTTAACAAGACCCCTATAACTTCCTGTGATTTGTAAAATATGTACGCCTCATATTTAAAGTGAAATATACAAGGTATTATGAATGTGTGAGTTACACATAACACCGATTTTATTACGTAATATTGATAAAATGAGCGTTGTGGTCATAACAACATACGGAGACTATTAATTCTTTTTTCCTAAATTCGTTTTTGGAATATGTTTTCTCTGCAACAAATATACACGCATGCAGTTCTAAGACGTTTTCTCATTAGTGAGTGAGGTTTATAACACTATAGTCGTCAACTTACACATTTATATCAATCTACACTTGCAGGGTTGCTCTTTCTGATCTCTGATAAGATTCTGACACCAGTTTCTAATACCATGGTCTTTAGCAAGATATTTAAATTTCGTGTATTTTTGCGCACAGAGCGTCAAATACGAAAGACCATGCACATATTAGAACGCCCTGTGTCTGTGGTAAATATCCTACAATGTAGGTAGGGCTGAATACTATTATATTGCTACATGTATGCATAGCTGATACGTAAGCTCAGATACATGCCTTTCAAATTCACAGCCTCGATTATCCATCGTAATCCTTTCCATTACGCTGGATAATTGAGGATTCTGGCCGGCGAATATTTAACAAGCATATTTTTGTTTTATCATTAAGCGCAATTGTACGGTGTGTTATATGCATCAATAAGAATCAGCTCTTACCAATGTGTGCGCTATTGCAGTGCTTGACTACTGCTGGTAATATAGATCGTTGATCTCCACGTTATTGCGTTTATTCAAAGTGACTATTTTGTTAATCCTTGAATCTTGATTATATCAAATAGAGTATACCCCTTACTTTAAACCATTTGTTATCTGTATTTTATGTTCGTGACTGTGTGTTTCTGATAACGGCAAGTCGGGATTTAGGGTTAGAACTGATCCCCCATCAACCTATGCCAGCGGCTGCATGGGTCGGGTGGTCAGGATCTATGACTTGCTTGATTGCGTGTTGTCCTCGCGACATCAATCACTTGATCATGTGGTCCTGACTCGATTATTTACAGGCCAACGTCATAAACCTGTAAAGTGCGGCTTTAAGCAACAAAGAAACAAAATTTCGTAGATCTATCATATGAATGTATATGCGGTCTTTTCCAGTTTGTCATACACCAACACAACAATGAGTGAGTGACTTGTGTTAAACTTCGTTTTGAACAGTATTCTAGTTACATCACGGTGTGTCAGCATAATGTAGGGGCAAAGCCCGGAGTGATGCAGGTCTCGGATGTTTACCACTTCGGTGAAACCCACGAACACGGGTATGGTGCTGACAAACCTAGAAACATAATCAGGGCGAACCGGTCATAAGTTTCTGGCGTACCCAAGGCACGCGACGACTGGGCCACCCGTGCCATCCCCAAACTTTCATACGGCAGGTCTTACTTTTGTGACGCAATCCAGGGGCGGTCGGGTAGCCTAGTGGTTAAAGCGTTCGCTCGTCACGCCGAAGACCCGGGTTCTATTCCCGACATGGGTACAATGTGTGAAGCCCATTTCTGGTTTCCCCCGCCCTGATATTGCTGGAATATTGCTGACAGCGGCGTAAAACCATACTCACTCACTCATCGTGACGCAATCCACGTAGAAATTCTTAAATCGATTTTATTGTCAAAAGTAAAACATTCAAATAGTAATTATAATTATCTTAATACATTTAGGATAAAATATTGTAGCTGACATACTGCATTGTTTAACTCGGACACCACTAGCCCTAGCTTACGGTTACAGAACAATTGTATGCATTGTACATATAGATTCAACATGAACATGTTTATAAATTTATAAAGTCACCAACTGCAATCTGGTTTTCCTGGAGCGGTATTTATTAAGCCATATTTCGCTTGTTAACCATTCAGGGTTTCATTTAAGAAATAAAAATGTATTTAAACCAATAACTGCAATGTTGCTGATGCAGCGTTAAGCAATATGCACTCACTCAGTAATGTTCGTTTAGGTCCTGGGCAAGGTGAGCTAAGTTTGAAACGAAAAACATGCAGAGAGCAACGACACTTGGTAGTCCGATGGTTGTGATTGCGGGTGACTGGCAGTTAACCAGGTCATCTGTAAAACCTGTTGTTTCTCAGCACTAGACTGAACACAGTCACCGTTACTTAATGTTACTTTCAGAAGCTGGTATTTAGGAGTTAGCTGTTGTAAGTTCCAATGTCGTGTAGGATATATCGAAATAATTTTATGTCCTTTTTCATGTTTTGCGGAACCCTTTATATCCCGTAGTTCAGAATAGAGGCAAGATAAAACTGGAGACAGTCTATGAAATCCGCACGTGCTCACCTCGAAATTACTGATAACACTTTACTGAGCAAAGATCATAAAAAATGCGGTATTCTCGTGTACAATGTGTATGAAAGTGTATATATACTCTGCTAAAAAGAAACGCAAGAGTAATAAAATCGAAATATCTGACAGAGTGTTGCCGACATCCATACAAAAGTAATAACAAAAATGAATTGGTCATTTCTGCATGGGTTGAGATTGATTTGTGGGGAAAGAATCGGGTACTGCAAGTAATTGTGAAAAGATGGAAAAATCGCAACAACAAAAAAAACACGTGAGAGCCTGGTGCCGAAACACACCAACATGGCATGCGCGTGCAACATCACTTGTGCAATAAATGTTGGGTTTTTATTTGCATGCCGTCACAATCTTACAGCAAGTGAACAACGAAAATATGCTCGGATGATGAAAACAGCAGCCAAATTTGTCTGATTTATCTGGGTTTTTTATCAGGCATTATGGCAGCCTGGTTCCCTGGGTAGGCTGCGCTTAGCTACAGTGTGGCTTCAGTGTAGCGCAAGCGCAGCTTACCCAGGGAACGGCTGTCATTTGGGTATAAGTATCAAGCTCCTCGCAGCGATAGCCCGTTCGCGGAGCTCTCTATACTATCGCTGCCACCAGTCAAAACTCCCCACTGTGATAGGTGGCCCCAACCATGCTTGGAGTTGAACTCGCAACCGAAAAACCGTTATGTTTACAAACAAGTGACGACTGTCGTCACGACGCATACACTTACCGCTGCTAAATTACTTTCCTTGTTTGTCAATCATCTTTAATTGATATAGTAAGAATGTGAGGGAGAAGTTGGTTGATTTTCCGTGAGTCTACAATCTCGAACCAATCTGATTATTAAAACAACAAAGTAAATTCAACTGGAAAACATGGTCAGTCGTAAACCTTTTCAAAATGATGGCATTCCCAAAGACATAAAGAAAAGTATAAACGTCACTACATTTGGGGCTAGAGGGCAAATTTCAAGATTCTTGTAATGGCCGCGCCCACACTGGTGGCAGCGATGTTACCGAGAGTGTAACGAAGGTGTCACTCCCTGGGAAGGAGCTTGTACAAGTACATGAATATGTGTCTGAATGCGGAAACACTTTGTCCAGAGGGTATCCTTGCAAATTCCACCACGATGGATTGGAAGAAATTCGTGGGTTTCCTCAAAGTGATTAACTTTCTGAAGCAGTTTAGTGCTTGTCTTTTACGAGTCAGCAAACACATGCTACGGGTTGAGGTCTTTATTGCAGATGCCAAAGATCAAGGATCTAAGATATCAGACACCCTGAAACACATAATTACACAATAAATAATGGGTAAAACATTACCATCAAGGCTAGATACATGGCATAGGCTTATTACAATATAGGCTTATTACATATATCAGTCACTAAAACACTAGATCGACTGTACGCTAAACGATTATAATACAACATATGCAGTAATATACATGGAACACAATACCGACATGCAAGGGAGATAACTCCTTGACTTTCATTTGACAATTATATACACAATAACTCTTACACATTCTGTATAAATTTATACAATACTTTCAGACAGAAATGAATGATATTATAATATTACATTAAATATGTAAGAATAAGAGATGGCCTAATTCTCTTCGTACGTGCCTCTAAATTCTATGTTGTTTGCTAGCAATATTCCAGCTATATGACGGTTTATAAAAAATCGAGTCTGGGCCAACAATCCAGTGATTGACATCATGAGCATCGATCGATCTTCGCAATTGAGATACAATGGCATGCATGAACCAAGTCAGCGAACCTGACGACCCTATCCTGTTAGTCGCCTCTTACGACAAGCATAGGCACCTTTTACGGCAAGCTTGGATTGCTGAAGACCAGTTGTAACCCGGTTCATTCCGGTTTAGTGCACACAGGTGTGACTGAGCCACGTCATGATATCTATAAGAAAACATAAAAATAGAACTCGAATTCCGCAATAATAAAAATTCATGTCGATGTCCTCTATGACATTTGTTTGCATGACGTGACCCTTCACGTAAAGGTCAAGGTCGAATATTGATACCTGGATCATCTAAACCTTACACAACAACCCTCACAATGGAATTCACGTGACTATATAAAAATGCCTCGCAGATGCTTGCTTCCCATGAACTGTTACCATGGCACCGCGTTCCATCATTATCAGAATTTCTTATATAAATATAGGTCTATAAGCTATCATCTGCCTTAACTCATAAAGTTGTTTCACTGATAAGGTAGGTACGCCTTTTCTTTCTTTTCTTTGTAAAATATTTTTGTATGTGCTTACCATATGCTGCATGTGTGTCAGTGCTGGGGTTTAGCGTTGTATCCTGGAGAGGGGCGAATGATTAAATCAGCGTTAGATATTCTAATACGACTGAAGCAAAGGAGCAATAAGGCATTCATCGATTGGATTCGTTTCTTTGTTTGTTGTTTAACGCAATATTCCAGCTATGCGACTGAGGTTTGTAAAAAATCGAGTCTAGACAAGACAATCCAGTGAGCATCCATCTATAAAATTGGGATACGATGAAATGCATCAACCAAGTCAGCTGGTCTGACCACCCGATCCCATTAGTCGCCTCTTACGACAAGCATAGTCGCCTTTTACCGCAAGAATAGTCGCCTCAGTCGCCTCTTACAACAAGAATAGTCGCCTCTTACAGCAAGCATGGGTTGCTGAATACCTATTTTATACCCCAGATCTTGTTACCGCTTTAAACAACTTTCACCTGGGGGCCGGTTCGTCTGGTCTGAGTTTGAGGAGGTACAGGTTGCAGTACATATTGCTGACTGCGGCGACAAACAACATTCACACTGAAGCAGACAAATAGTTTTTTAACGATTACCGATTGCGAAGTTAATAATAATAGGCCATTTATATCGCGCATATTGCCATACCACTCAGGGCCATGCTCAAAGGGCTATTATTACCCCGGCCACTGGATCATTGTGCACTCAAGAATCATTCTCAACTCCCAACCCAAGCTGCTCTAGAAGGTTAACAACCACATTGTCATCTCATTCTATTGGGTACCCATTCACTGCTGGGTGAACAGAGGCACGCTTCGAACAAAGTCACTTGCCCAAGGGGACGCCACATTACGCCACGTTACATTTGCTACAGTGTGGGGGCAGGACCGAAGCCCTAGAAACTCTCAGGAGCCAAGCTGCCGAAACACGGTCACCCATCCAAGGGGTTATGGCCCGGGAAGGCGAAAATCAATCCCTCAGAGTTAGAAATTACGTTCGCCTTCCCGGTCATAACAAAAATTCTTATTATGGCAGATGATCGCCTTCCCGGTACTTGTTAATTACAAAGAAAACAACAATGAAATGAGGACACTATTAAATCTGGGCAACAAAGTCAATATATAACACAGACATAATAATAAGACAGAATACAAGAGGGAACATATGCTCTTGAAACTCAGCATGAATGGTGTACACTTGGTCGAACAGCTTCGGAGAAGACGAGAAAGTGCCATCTGCATAC